ACTTTGTTCATTGTTTGAAAAAGAAAAAATTTGGAAAAGAAAAACCTTGTCCTTTGGGGAATGTTTTCTGTTTTTTATTTCTGTATTATTTTATTTTATTTTATTTTTTAATTGACAAAAGATGTATATATTTATGGTGTACAACACAATGTCTTGATATATTTATACACATTGTAGAATGGCTAAATCAAGCTAATTAACATATGCAAAAACCTTATCTTTTGATTCCTGTATCTGATCTGTTTTCCTTTCCTTGGTTCTGATTTTCTATTTCTCACCCTTTGTTATGGGCTTAAGAGCAGTACATTAATAAACAAATAAAATGTAATACAATAAAAGATTCTTCACTTAGGCACTTGAGGGAACAGGAGATGAAAGTTCATTACAAATGCAAATTAATTAATTAAGAACTAATTAATGAAGACCCTCCAGCTTTTTCCATGTGCTTGTGCTTCTCAGACCTTTGAGCATAGGTTAAGGCAAACAGGGATTCAGTACCACAAGGAAGCAGGCGCTCCCCTGCCCCACCCCAGGACGAGGGGCTGCCAGGTGCCTGACCTTTCCCCTCTGAGCGTTCTCTCAGCTCCAGGTCAGGCATTGTGGAAGGAGCTGGAATATGTGGGTGGTGGCCTAGGGGTGGGACAGGCATACCCTCACAGCTTGTGAGCAAGCTAGCACCTTGAAGGCTAAGACAACTGCCACCCAGTTGAATTGTGTGGTGGGGCAGTCACAAGTGACAGGTCTCCAGAGCTTTCTGGTCTACATGGGGCAGTGTTACTCAACTTTTGCGGCGTGCTGAACCTTTATTCCTGCCAGAATGTCAGTCCCTAGAGGCATGCCGCACTTTATGGTCTATAAAACACATTCATGCGCATTCTCTCATTTGATCCTGGGAGCAGCCTGCCAGAGGACTGCCATGATAGGGACTTGTGGCCGTGTCCTCTGCTGTCTCCAGGCATTCACCACATTGTCTACCCATGTGCACTGAATCGCAATGGACGTGGCCTCAAATGGACACTAGTGGCAATGGGCAGCACAGATTTTTATCTGTAAAATGGAAAAATTAGTACCTATTTCTCAGAGTTATTATGGAGGTAAAATTAAGTCCATCATAAAACTCTTGGCAAGTGGCTGACACATCATAAGTGGTAAATGAAAGTATCTGAAGAACTAAAGAATTAAACTGAGGAGTTCAGGAACCTAGTGGGTAGGTTCCTGAACTTACAGGCTGTGGCTGTCTAGAAGCACCCAAGACCCAAGCTCCTAATGTGGCAGGAAGCCTTGCAGGGTGGGGTGGGGTGGTACCCCATTTCACCATGGCCCCCTCCACCCTTTAGTCTTACAGCAAGCAGTTAAGAAATCCCATTTTTCTTATCACTGAAACTTTGCAGAAGAAAGACAGCAGCTGAGGGGCCAGGTTGCCAAACTGCTCTGCTGAGATTTATAGACAGAAGCAGGCATGTGCTGGGAGCAGTTTTTCCAGAAGGGGTGAATTTGTGCTGATCTAGCTTTTTCCTTGTGATGAAAGCCAGAGGTTCCTGGTCCTCCTGCAAACCCTGCCAGTCTCACCTGCTGCCTCCGGTCTGGGAGAGAGGAGAAGCCTGGAGAACACACTTGCTTCTAGTTCTCCCCACATCCCTTCTCCTCAGCAGGACACCTGATCATCACCTCCAGCACTAGCGGGGCTGGCAGGGACTCTACTACAGAGTGAATCCTCTCTGGGCACAGACCAAGCACATGCTGCATAGGGTCTCTGCTTTCCACAGCTTCACAAAGTGATGCTGCATCCCAGCATAATGAACTCTGTTTTCTCTCTGCCTTCTGAAGATGGCTGCCATGTGGCAAAATAGCCCTGGACTGCACAGGAGCCCAAAGGAACACTCTAGCGCCGACGCACTATGCAGTTTCAGGCAACTTCCTCAGCAACTCTGAGCTTTCATTTACTCAGCTGTAAGATGGGAATAACAACAATGCCAAATTCACAAGTTATTTTAAGAATTAAATGAAATAACTCTGGGATTACCAGTCAGGACAAAGGTATTCAATGATTTGTTTGTTCCATATGACATCATCAGACAGAGCAACGCAGCCAGTCAAACTCTGTCATGATTCCTGATATCCACCTGCTAACAATTCCCAAGGCCACTGCCAGCACCTACCTGGTTCTGATCCATCCCTGCTGGGCTCTTTTTCTCCAGCACACCTGCTCCGACCTCAAGGCAGCTCAGCTTCTCCTCAGTATTTAAAGAAACAACTTATCCTGTGAAATTAGGATATAATCATGCTTCTTTCCTATCAAAAAAACCTTTGGCAGCTGCTCAGATCCTTCAAGATAAAAGTCAAAACTCCTTAATACGGCTTTCAGGCCCCTCCATGACATGCTGTATCTCACCCCTCCACTGTGTCCCTCCAAAGCCCTGCAATGGCCTGCACGTGCCCAGCTGTGCTACCCCCACATGTCTGCATAAGCTCTTCCCTCCACCTCGATTCCTCCCCCATCTGTTTGTCCCTCTTACATATTCTGAAGGGCTCTGGCTCGAGCATCTTCTCCTCTAGGAAGACCCTCCTGGTGCTCCAACCACACCTTCTACACACCCCGATTTTGTGTCCATGTGTGGCACCCTGTCTCGCCATCATTCATTTACATTTCTGTCCTCCATACTGCAGTGTGAGCTCCTTGAGGCAGGGACTGTGTCTTGTTCATCTTTGTATCTCCAACTTCTATCACAAAGTAGATGTTCAATGAATGAATAAATGCTGTTTCTTTCTTGTTCCAGCATAATTTTCTGGATCAGAAAGAAATTCCTTTTCAGTCTGCCTCCACACTCCACCATCTCATACCAGCTGATCTCTCCACCTCACACCTCAGGGCCAAGGTTTCCTGGACATCCAGCATAATTCAACCCCACACCCACCAGTTTCTATTCCATCACAAATAAGTATTTCTATGTACCTACTTTACATTTAACTATATTTGCCTTTATCTTATGTGTGGGCAAACCACAGAGGTGCTAATTACGGCAATTTTATCAGCAAGTCCCCGCAAAGTTTAAGAATGTGTTCTGTGTCTATAGAATAAATAACACAGATTTGTCAATCAGGGCTTGAAACCACTGTTTCGCTATCATTTTGTTAAAACAAATTAAATGAACGTCCCAGAGATGAGCTCTATCACAGTCTCAAGGTAGCAACGATAATGGTGATCACAATAACTCTATAGCTCTAATAATCACCAGTCATCCCTAGAATGATACTAACATTTGTTGACTGTTTTCCAGGTGGTGAGTAGAATACTAAGAGTTTTACATTGACTGACTTAACATTCACACTGTACAAAGGATCTGTCACTTCCAGCTGTGTGACCTTGAGTAATTACGTTGCTTCTTTTTGCCTTCATTTCCTCATGAGTGAAAGACAGATAGTCAGGGTATCTATATCATAGTGATTAAATGAGTTATTATATATAAATGCTTAAAGAAGGCCCAGCACATAGTAAGACCCCTCAAAAGGTGACCCCTCCCTATCCCCAAAGTTATCTGAACCTGAGGTTATTAGTCCTAACCACTAGGGCCTTCTTCCTCAGTTGTCACGTGGCTCAGGCTGCCAAAGAGGTAGAACTAAAACCAACAGGTGGAAGAAACAAGGGGCAGATATCTACTCTTTATCATTATATTTTTCTAATAAAACCTTCAAAGTGATAAAAATGCATCAATCTTATTTCTCATTTACCTTTAAGAAACTATTATTTATGTGCATTCAGAGGCATATGTAAAAATATGGTTGGAGCCTTGTTTGCAATAGTGAAAATGAGAGTAAGCTATGTGTCCATCAATTTAGGAATGTTTAAATAAACTGTGGCAGAACAACCTGTAAATTACTAAAAAATTTGACAAGCAAAAATGTGACTTCATACCTGTCAACAGGCTGTGCCAGGCATGGTTCTAAGTGCTGACATAAATTAACTCATCTAATCCTCAAAAGAACCCTATGGAGATAGGTATATTATAATCCCAGTTTACAAAGAAGGAAACTGAGGCTAAGAGAGGTTAAATAATTTAGATCACCCAACTGTCAAGGGATAAAGCTGTGATCTGAATCCAAGCAGTCCGGCTTCAGGGTCCATCCTTTTAACCACTGTGCCAATTAGCTGTTGAGTGAAAAAAACAAAAAGCAAGGGGCAGACAGATACATAAAGTATACTATTTGAGTAAAATATGCACATGACATAGTACCATATTGTTTCTAAATATGTACAAAAAGAGAGAAAATTATCTACAAAAAAAAAATCACCACATTACAACATAGGTTGACTGTGTGAAGAGCTAAAGGAACGCGGATTGGGAAGTGGGATCAGAAAGAATTTCATCCTGACCTAAAACATTTTAAATGTTGAAAAGATAATGGATTCCAGTATTACAGATTGATTAAAAACATAAAATAAAAATAGTCAGAAGGAACCGGCCACTTTAAGGTTAAATGAGTTCCCTAATAGAAAATGAATTAGCTTAGTTTCTACTCTTAAGCGATTCTACAGAGGTGATTCAAGCATCAGAGGGTGACTGGACTGGGAGACCACCCCAGCTGGTTGTCACCTTAGGCAGATAAATTAAACAAGCTCCAAATTAAATGCATAATTTTTTATTCCCAAACTTAACCCTCTGGTCTCTGCTACTTCTATGAAAGACATTGCTCACATACACCTAAATTACTTATAATTCCTATCATTTCTGTCTGTTTTTCTAACTCTAGCTTCATTATCCATATAAAGGATTAACCACTCTTCTGAAGCCCTTTAATCATGAATATATGGCTACTCATCCCCTAAGTCTTCCCTTTTTACACGCTAGTTGTGATGGCGCTGGTGAGAAAGAGTGGCAAAGGTGATGACGGTGGTGGTAGTGGTAGTAATGACGAGAATAAATAATGGTAGCAATGTGGTGGAGGGGGTGGTGGTGGTGGTAGAGGTGGTGGTGGTGGTAGAGGTGGTGGTGGTGATGGTAATGTTGGTGGTACAGGGGGTGGAGGTGGTGGAGGTGGAGATGGTTGTAGAGGTGGTGGTAGAGGTGGTGGCATTGGTGATGGTGGTCGTGGTGGAGGTGGTGGTGGAGGTAGAGGAGGTGGTGATGGTGGTAAAGGAAGTGGTAGCAGTGGTGACAGTGGTGATGTTGGTGGCGGTAGAGCTGCTGGGGAGGTGATGGTGCTGGTGGAGTTGGTGGTGGAGGTGGTAATGGTGGTGGTGGAGTTGGTGGTGGAGGTGGTAATGGTGGTGGTGGAGTTGGTGGTGGTGGAGGTGTTGATGGAGGTGGTCATGGTGGTGGAGGTGGTAGTGGTGGTGGAGTTGGTGGAGGTGGTAATGGTGGTGGTGGTGGTGGTTGTGACGGTGATGGTGGACGTGGAGGTGGTTGTACAGGTGGTGGTGGAGGTGGTGGTGGTGGTATTGGCGATTGTGGAGGTGGTGGTGGAGGTGGTGGAGGTGGTGGTGGTGGTGGTGGTGATGGTGGTGTGGTGCAGATGGTAGCAGTGGTGGAGATGGTGGTGGTGGAGGCGGTGGTGAAGGTGCTGGAGGTGGAGGTGGTTGTAGAGGTGGTGCAGGTGGTGGAGATGGTGGTGGTGGAGGTGGCAGAGGTAGTGGCAGTGGTGATTGTGGTGCAGGTGGTGGTAGTCGTGGAGGTGGTGGTGGTGGAGGTGGTAGAGATTGTGGTGGTGGTGGTGGTGGTGGAGGTGATGGAGGTGGTGGAGGTGATGGTGGTGGTGGAGGTGGTGGAGGTGGTAGTGGAGATGATGGAGGTGGTGGTGGTGGAGGTGGTGGAGGTGATGGTGGTGGTGGAGGTGGTGGAAGTGGTAGTGGAGATGATGGAGGTGGTGGTGGTGGAGGTGGTGGAGGTGATGGTGGTGGAGGTGATGGCGGTGGAGGTGGTGGTGGTGATGGTGGTGGAGGTAATGGTGGTGGTGGAGGTGGTGGTGGTTGTAGAGATGGTGGCAGATGGTGATGGTAGTGGAAGTGGTGGAGGTGCTGATGGTGGTGGTGGTGGTGGAAAAGGTGGAGGTGGTGGTGTTGATGGTGGTGGAGGTGGTGGTGGTGAAGGTGGTAGTGGTGGTGGTGGAGGTGGTGGCAGTGGTGATTGTGGTTGAGGTGGTGGTGGTGGTGGTGGAGGTGGTGGTGGTGAAGGTGGTAGTGGTGCTGGTGGCAATGGTGGTGGTGGAGGTGGTGGCAGTGGTGATTGTGGTGGAGGTGGTGGAGGTGGTGGAGGTGGTGGAGGTGGTGGAGGTGGTGGAGGTGGTGGAGGTGGTGGAGGTGGTGGAGGTGGTGGAGGTGGTGGAGGTGGTGGTGGTGGTGGTGGTGATGGTGGTGTGGTGCAGATGGTAGCAGTGGTGGAGATGGTGGTGGTGGAGGCGGTGGTGAAGGTGCTGGAGGTGGAGGTGGTTGTAGAGGTGGTGCAGGTGGTGGAGATGGTGGTGGTGGAGGTGGCAGAGGTAGTGGCAGTGGTGATTGTGGTGCAGGTGGTGGTAGTCGTGGAGGTGGTGGTGGTGGAGGTGGTAGAGATTGTGGTGGTGGTGGTGGTGGTGGAGGTGGTGGTGGTGGAGGTGGCAGAGTTGGTGGTGGAGGTGGTGATGGTGGGGGTGGTGATGGTGGTAGTGGTGGTGTTGGTGGAGGTGGTGGTGGAATTGGTGGAGGTGGAAGGGTTGGCAGTGGAGGTTGTGGACGTAGTGGTGGTGGTGGTGGAGGTGGTGGAGGTGGTGGTGGTGGTGTTCGTGGTGGTGGTGGTGATGGTGAAGGTGGTTGAGGTGATTTAGTTTGTGGACGTGGTGGTGGAGGTTGTGGATGTGGTGGTGGTGGTGATGGAGGTGTTGGAGGTGGTGGAGGTGGTGGTA